AGTTAAATATTTAATTTAATATAATAATTTTGAAATATAATTAATTAATACAAAAAAAAACCTGATTTTTGCAAATTTAAACTTTGGGACCTAATTTTTAATTTTGGTAAAGTAAATGCCTGAACCATAAATTTTTCCCTACATAGTTTGTGCACTTACAGTAGGTCACAATTGTAACTTTCTGATATCATCTCAATAAACAGCTAACAGCATTATAGATTTTGTTTATTTTTTTAAATTGCGAATCATTAATGTGATTTTCAATAATTTACTCCATTATAGATTCCTCGTTCCCATTTCCGTATTACTTGGTATTAATATAGCAGCCAACATTTGCTATAACGTTATAATGACAACATAAAACAATAGGGCTATTCTCATTATTCAAAGTCGGACTTCCTTTGTGTTCTTTTTGAACTCAAAAAAGGCTACTAATCCTACCTATAACTTCAGTCAATTTAAAATGATTTATTAGTATTGAGTACGAGTGTACGACTATCGAAGTAGAGTTAGTCGATTCATATTCTTCATATACGTCTAGAGTAAATGTGCTGTTAATACATAATACGCAATTGTTAGAATTCATATTCATCGCATACCGACTAGTATTGTTATATTTATCTTACTAAGTTCCTATCGGTAGACATTAAAGTTTTAAATCACTAAACATAAAAAAAGATGAATTTTAAAAAACGAGAATCAAACAAGTGCTAAACATATCGTAAAATCACGAGCTTTTATTTTTTTCAATAACAATCTATTTCAAAATGATAAAAAAAGGAGCTGCAAGTCTTCGAGCCACACGCAGCCCTTGTTGCCAGTGAGGAAGAGAGAAAAAGTATTAACATAGTCAGACAAGTATAGATTAAAAATTGGATTAAATTATATTAAAATAAGAAGGCAGAATCTTTTTTATCACACAGAACATGCAATCCTTGATACAGTTATGGCTTGTTTGGCAATGAAGTTTTAAATTTTGTGTATTATATTGTTGAATTCTAAGTGATGGTAGGGGTCCAAACTAAAGCCAAATTATAAAGATTCATGGAAACAATTAGACCTTCTCCAGAGCATTAAATTGTAACACAGCCAAAAATAGGAAAAAAATTATGACTTGTGGAGCTGCCTGTGGGTGTTAGGCCCCAAAGAATTGAATGTCCAACTTGGTATCAGTGTGTGAAGCTAGTACTCTAATCAACTAATATAGATATCTATTTTAAATATAATATGTTGAAAATCCATAACAGAAAAGGAATAATAATTAAAAATAAAATAAAAATCGAGAGGTGTCACAAATTGACCTGAACTGGGTCGTGCAGTAGGCCATTTGCCCCTGCAGCTGACTCGTGAAAAATATGAACTGGGAGCATGCCGAGCTCAAATGCCCAACAAACCCAAAAAAATGACTTGAAAAACGACCCAATCCACGCCATGCATAACTGTTTGGAAACAGGTGGTCGGCCATTTACAATTTTTCTAGGCACTTCGGTTAAAGAGCAATTATTTATGGTTCAGTCCTCGGTTGGACTGGTCTTGGTCCAATTTCCAGAGCAAAATTAAGCAAAGGTAAGTCAGATGGGTACACATACAGAGAGAAACCTTCCTAAATTATATATTTACTCTGGTTTCAGGGTTCCTCTCCCAATGCCTATTTCCCTGAGTTATTTCTGACCAACTTTGGCTTCTCTGATTATATACAAAACTGCATAATTCTATGTATTTAGAATTCAAATACAATATCTTACTACACAAAACAAAAAGGAATAGCCTGCCTAAGCCCAAGACAAAACTATTAAATTAAGAACATTATAGTATTACAACATTTACTCTGAAGCTACTTTTAAAACATTTTATTCAATATTTTATGTTCAAACCTCACGGATCCAACCCACAAATTAGATTCTCCTGTCTGTGAGCTTGTTCATGAGCGAGCGAGAGAGAGAGAGATGGTTTCTCTGGAACATCAGCAGAAGGTCAAACTTTTCTTCTTTGCTCCCAGTAAAACATTGTTCCAGGTAAAGTGAATTGTTTTGAGTACATGTTTTTTACCTCTTAGCCTTAAGTCTGTTCAATGATGGGTTCCAATAATCTATGGTAGCTTCTCCTATCATAATGATGGATCAAAGAAATAAGCTTTCTTGTTTGAAAGAGAGTTTTGTATCTATGTTTTGATTGATGTCTTTTTCTGCACTCATTGGTCTGAACAGTAAAATATGAGGTCTGTTTCTGACTCTGTGAGGCCCACAATGGAAGAAGATGAGGCATGAATTCACATGTAACTCCTTGTGCTGTTCAAAAGTCTTGACTGTTGCATTCATCTTCTCAAGAGTACTCAGTGTCTGTCACATACAAATTAGAGCAAGAATCCAACAGGAAGGCCAGTTTTTCTGATGTCAATGGTGGTAAACTAGGCTTTTCTGAATGCTACTCAAAAACATGGTGTGGAGACTTCATCTATCTCAGTATGAAATCATAAAACTGGTTTTAGACATTTAACCAGGTAAAACGTTACATTTGTTACACTATATTAGATAGCATCAAAGGTTAAACCTTTACCTGTGTTCCTTGCCACTCTTGAGACTTCACAACCAGCAAACCAGGTTTTGGGGATTCCTTATTCCGTCGTTGAATATGGATGAAGAAGCAATGCTGTCAGCAGAACCTCCTAAGGAGATCCAAACAATTGATACCAAGTCCCTCACCATCAAGATAGCAAATTCCTGCAAGAAAAATGGTAAAGAAATTCGAGCTAACATTGTTCCCTCGACTCTAGATTTAATGTCAAAGAACTCGGTAGAAAATTCAGTAGCATCGTCTCCATATAATTCTCCACTCATCTCACCTCCATCCTCAGCGTTTGTTTCAGCGTTACAATCACCTTACATTTCTCCGAGGGCAAATATATTTACGAGTTCAAATCCAACCCAAGAAAGTCCCAGACCAACCACAGGACTCACTCACCCGTCGCCTCCAGTGTCATACTGCGGATCACAGTCAGATGACATCCCGAGTACTTCCTACACCCCGCCTCCCGAAAAATACGACTATTCTGATGACCCCGCCAACACAAAGTTCAAAATTTTGACTTGTGTTCCAGTTCCAGTTTCAGGTCCAGACACAGCTCCTCGTATTTCATTTTCATTTCCTGTTCCTCGAATTTCCTTTGCAAGAGGTTCTGTTTCACCTGCCTCCAATGCCAAACTTAGGAGCTGTGATGTTTACATAGGCTTGCACGGACAGAACCCGAATTTGATACGGTTCTGTAAGTGGCTTAAATCAGAGCTCGAGGATCAGGGTATTGCTTGCTTTGTTGCAGACAGAGCAAAGTATGCGGATAATCAGAGCCATGAGATTGCTGACAGGGTTATTTGCTCTGTGACCTTTGGAGTGGTGATTGTCACTAGTTATAGCCTCCTTAACCATTTAAGTTTGGAGGAGATCAGATTCTTTGCACAAAAGAAGAACTTAATTCCTTTGTTCTTCGACACTGACGCCAATGAAATTGCAAGCCTTTTCAACCCACATTCTGATAATAAGGAATGTAGAGAAGCGCTGGATGGATTATTGAGGTCTCATGAATTCAGACTGGAAGCAAATGAAGGTAACTGGAGAAATTGCGTGTCAAAAGCTGCTGGCATATTAAGGGGAAAGCTCGGGAGGAAAAGCATGACCGAAAAGGAAGTAGAAAGTATTGAGGTCTTACCATTTCCAAGAAACAAATACTTTGTTGGGAGGGAGAAAGATATTACGGAAATCGAGACTACATTCTTTGGACATGGGGATTACTTGGAGCAAGAATGTACCATGCCAACTATTAAAGGAGGAACACCAGGGCAATCAGATGGTCTAGCGGATGAGGAATGCGAGGTTGACACAGTTAGAGAAGGCAAATACTTAAGTTTAGAAGTTGGCAGGTGCAAGGAGCCAACTTTGGAGGCTTGGTCTGAACCAGTTATTGGAAGAAATTCACAGAAAAGACCTAAATACAAAAGGTCTAGAAGTGGAAAAAACAAGAGCTTCAACAGCAGCATAGTGTGCATAAATGGATCACCAGGAGTTGGAAAGACAGAGCTTGCTTTGGAATTTGCATACAGGTACTCACACAGATACAAGATGGTTTTGTGGGTTGGAGGTGAAACTAGGTACTTCAGGCAAAATATACTAAACATAGCACTCAATATGGGGTTGGACCTGAGTGCAGATGCAGAGAAGGAAAGAGGGAGGATCCGGAGATTTGATGAACAAGAATCTGAAGCATTCAAAAGAATTAAAAGGGAGCTGTTTCGGGACATGCCTTATTTACTGATTATTGATAATCTAGAGACTGAGAGGGAATGGTGGGAAGGGAAGGATCTACATGACTTAATACCGAGGAATACAGGTGGCACACATGTAATTATCACAACAAGGCTCCCCAGAGTAATGAACTTTGAACCAATTCAACTTCAGCCATTGCCATTTTCGGATGCAATGATATTGATTAGAGGAAGACGGAAAAAGGAGTATCCGGCTGCAGAACTAGAAATCCTCGGGAAGTTCGATGAGAAATTGGGCAGGTCAAGTTTCGGATTGTGGGTGATAGGTTCGCTGCTTTCTGAACTCGCAATTACTCCATCGGCTCTGTTTGAGGCAGTGAACAATGTCCAATATGAAGAAGCTACTGGCTGCTCCGTTGCAGATCAACAACTTCATAGAACAAATAATTTTCTAGTGAAAGTCCTGTCTTTTTGTGCTATTGTGTTGCAGCAAACAAATGGAGGGAGGAATCTCCTTGCTTCGAAAATGCTTCAGGTCGGAGCATGGTTTGCCCCAGCTCCCATTCCATCAAATTTACTGGCCACGGCAGCAAATTACATACCTTCCACCAGAAACAAATTGAGAAAGTGGACCAAGTGCTTGAAACTCACTTTCTGTTGTTGCTCAGGTTGTTTAGCAAGTCAATCATGGAAGAGTGAAGAGGATTCAGCACTTCTCTTAGTTAAACTCGGTTTGGCACGGATAGCCAATAAACAGCCCGGATGCTGGATTCAGTTGCACAACATCACTCAAACATTTGCAAAAACAAAAGAAGGTTCAGTTGCTGCCAAGGCAACAATTCAAGGAGTAAGGAAAGTTGGAAATCCACTGGAAAACTCAGACCACCTGTGGGCTTCAGCTTTCCTTGTCTTTGGCTTTAAATCAGAACCCCCAATTGTCCAGCTCAAGGCAATTGACATGGTTGTCTTTATAAAGAAAACAACTCTCCCTCTAGCAATAAGCGCCTTCACAACATTCTCGAGATGCAACTCAGCCTTGGAGCTTCTGAAGGTCTGTACAAATGTACTTGAAGAAGTCGAGAAGTCATTCGTGTCTCAGATACAGGATTGGTGCCATGGTTCTCTTTGCTGGAAAAAGGCACTTCAATCCCACCAGAGAGTGGACGAGTACGTGTGGCAGGAAGTGACATTGCTGAAAGCTACACTGCTCGAGACGAGAGCAAAATTACTGCTGAGAGGTGGCCATTTTGACAGTGGGGAAGATCTGTGCAGAACTTGCATCAGTATCAGGACAGTGATGCTAGGCCACAACCATGCTCAAACATTAGCTGCTCAAGAAACATTAGCCAAGTTAGTGAGAATGAGGAGTAAGATATGATGCTGTATCTCGAAATATTAGTCTTACACAGGGACGGACTCGATTTTGTTCACATTGTAGTCATGCTGCCATTAACCAGATAGCTTATATAAAAGCTATCAATTCAGTATACTCTCTCAGAATCATGTGATCATATAATATCATTACTTTCCTGAGTGACATGCTTATAAATATACATTCAGAATGTGTGTTGGGAAAGTAAATTAGACAACAATGAATAGTATTAACAAATAATAAAGAGCTAAAACTTTGTCCATATCCTCGTTCATGTTAAGGATATATATCCCACATCGAACAGTGATGTAGACACAGACCAATTAATAAAGATTCTGGGCTACTCCTCTTAACAAGGTTGACCTTTTAAGATGGACTCCCAAATCTTAACATGGTATCAGAGCCTAGGGTCGGAGGAACGCAGTAGAAAGCGTAGTGGCGATCGGGCTAAAAATCATTCGCGTTTGAGGTGTCTTGTGTCGAAAGTCTTCCTGACATTGGTGGTTAGGCGGCTGGTCCCGTTTGGTCGAGGACGACGGTAATAACGACGGTACAAGATGATTGGCGAATGGATTATCGTTTGAAGGGAGGCCACAATGATGTGGTCCTTCGTTTGAGGGGAGGATTGTTGGGAGCAAACAAGAAGTCCCACATCGGTTGGGAGAAGAAAAGAAATCCACCATATAACCCAAGTGGGCTACTCCACCCATTACCAATTGGTTTTGGGATGGAACCTCATTTGAGCTTGGTGATGTGGGCTTGGACCTTGGGTAATTGCTCTCAATAATTCCCTACAACTGGTATCAGAGCCCATTATGCTCCAACGAGCAATTCGATCCCGATAAGACTCCAAAAAGAGAGCACGTGGATTTCAAGATTGGTCTGCTCAAACGAGCCACCATCTTGCGGGGGCGTGTTAAGGATATATATCCCACATTGAATAGTGATGTAGACACAGACCAATTAATAAAGATTCTGGGCTACTCCTCTTAATAAGGTTGACATTTTAAGATGGACCCCCAAATCTTAACAGTTCACATATTAACACGAACACTGTTAAGGACCATCAAGAAAGAACCATAGCACCCAAACCCAAAAATAAAAAAATAATTGAGTTCTGTTGATTAATTACAACGGAGTAGTAAATGAAAACTCCAGCGCTGTATGAGAACTCGAGGCAGTCGATTCGGAGGCGTTCAACCCTTAGAAACCGCTTCGTATCAATAAAAAAAACCCTTCCAGATTTCTTAAAACTCCATGAATGGCCGTACCATGTGTCTTCCAATGTTAATCGACAAATTATTCCAATTGCAGCGGTAGGTTTTGATGCGATGAAACACGGTAAAAAAAATCAAACGCTTTTTTTCTTCATACTGTGAGATAACATAATCAGTGATCAGAACCTCGATAAATTTCACTGAAAACGAATTTTCAGCCACGATACGAAAAACTTGAAATTAATCGGAGTGCAGAATTCCTTCCCGCGTTGTTCCACTCACTTCAAGATTTCATTCATAACTTTAAAGTTTTGCCCACTCAACTTTAAAATAACGTGGAGTGATACATTCGTGAAGCATTACTTGTTAAAATGCTTTCAATACACGGAACTTTAAACGAATGATCACTAAACTTCATAATAGTAAAATTAGTTTTTTGTTAAATTTGACCTAGATTAAAAAAATAAAATAAACATAGACTGGACTAGACAATGAGACGCTCAATCTAAGGTGAAAATATTGATATGGTCAAGATTTCTCTAATAGTCAAAAGTTATGCTCGAGATAGAAGAAAAATTTCAGTATAAATTTGACATAAATTGTAATTTAGATCATAATCTTCATTTATGTCAAGAAAATAAAATAGATAAATTATTTTTTTATTTTGATTGATATCGTAGACCCAAATCAAGAAAATAAAAAATTATATCTCAAAAAGGCTATGAAAATTTCGATTTAGAATCAATAATATTAATCAATTTTAACAAAATATAATTTTTAGAGTCATCACTAAGTAATTCAACAGAAACGAAGACGTTGTTTTCGTGTATTTTATACTTCAAAATTTTCAATTTTTGAACTGTTAGATCCAATAAATAAAGTTCAGTGACCAATCAAAAGTATTTTAAAGTTCAGTAACTAAAGCGTTATGGAGATATAAGTTCTACGACTAATGAAACATAATGAGTGGTTGATGGAGTGCAAACTGTTAAAATTGAGTGATTACTCGAAAGTATTTTAAAATTCAGTAAGTAAATCGTGACAAAAATATAAATATGTAACACGAACTAAAGTCAAAAGTTTTTAAAAAGAAAAAGAAGAATCGTTAAGAATAGTTATGTCGACAATCACAGTGTTATTTGCTTCAATTTTACCCGCTATCATAGCTGCAAGCCTTGTTCAAGAAAAATAATGGGCCAAAAAATCGGGTTTCAAGTAGGCCCTCTCAACTGTCAATTCTATTTCCGTCATGATAAGTGGGCTTTGATCCTACTGGAAAGGGAACAATAGACGAATTTTACTTTTAAATCTCATTTTTATTTTCAAAATACTATTTTTAATTTTTGAGTATATTTTGATGAAAGTTGAATAAATGGTAAAATGTGTAGTTAAAAATTAATTTGAGGAAAAATAAATTTTATAAGATGGGGTCAAACATGGGCTTCATTTTTTCCGTACATTATATACAAAATTGTTGTACATTGTTACACTTCCTTCCTCAACTACCACAGTTAAAATTGTCGCTACCACTAATTGTATCAAATTTAGCCCCTATTTGATGGCAGTTATTTTGAAAAAAATAGATTTCTGAATAGTCATTTTTTTGAAAAATGTGTGATTAAAAAGTAGAAATGCCTTTTTTGAATTTACATGTAAAATATTTTATTATGTAAATGTGTGATTGAAAATGAATATGAAAATTAAAGAGTTTTGTTTTAGAATAGACAAACAACGCATTGCCATCATCACAACCATTGCACAACCATTTGTAACAAATCTTTTTATGCTATCACCAATTCACGACCACCACAACCACTTTGTAACATACCACATTATACAACTACCATTACTACCATCCTCACTTGTTTCAACCACCACTACCACCTTTGAAGCAAACATCTATTGCCGCCGCCGCCTCCACTACCACCAGATTTGTACCACCATCAACCCCACCAAATCCGCACTACCATCATCACCATCATTTAAAAAAAAAATTCACAAAATGTGAGGGTGATTGTGATTCTAGAAATGGTTTTAGATGGTGGAAGTGGAAGTGGACGTGGTCGTAATTGTGGCGACGATAGATGGTGGCTACGAATGTGAGGGTGATTGTGGTCAACGACGTTTGTTTGGTGGTGATGCCGTTGACTACTGTGATGGTGGGTTATTGTTTGTACGGTTCGTGGTAAATATGTGATTTGTGTATAAAAACAGTATTCTTGAAAGAGAATACTTCTTGTACACAACTATTTAAATAATGGGTTACATAATGATGAAGTGTCAAATTGTAAGTGATAAAATTATTTGATTGATGAGATTTTGATCCAATTAAATCTCATCAAATCATCTCTTGGTACCTTGTTGAATAAAATTCAATTGTAAGTACACTTGTAATTTCGAAAGACATGGCCAATTGTGGGTATAATTATCCATACTGGAAATTGTTAGGTCATTTCAATTTTTTTGCAATCGGTGTCATTTTCAATATTAGAAAATTGAAAAAAGCAATAAACATTGGGGATAATTACATCCAATGCCCTATAAATAATTTGATTCCCAAATTACTATTATTACTTCTAAATTCTCAATTTATTGTTTTTGCAACTCATTTTGGTTCCAGCTTTCTTCCTCTAATTAAACTACTTGTACAATAATTTTGTACAACTAATTTGGCAACCCATGAAGTGTAAACATATGGTCAAACTGACTGCCAACTCATGATTTGTTAAACTAATTGTACATATAGCAAAATCATCATTCCTCGCCCACGAACATGGAAAATCCATCCCAATCCAGTGGCGCTACCAACAACTTTGATGGCCACCTAGACGTGGCAAGCTCGGCTCAACTCGACCCTATTGCCAACGAGCTCATGGCTCGTTTGGAACGAGTTGAGCTACTCAAGGGCCAAGCTCGGCTCGCAAGCTTGTCTTTTTTTTTTTAATATATAAAACCCTCTTTCTTTATTTCGGTTTGGAATCGGCTATTTAATTTTCGAGTATTAAAATTGTACACAAACAACTTGTTACGTGTAAAAAAATTAAAAAAAGAATAAAATAGTATTATAAAATGATAAATTTTATTAATTTGGTTAAATTAAATATCACTTATCTGACAACATGCGATTTCG